GTAATAGATATAAATATGTAATATATAATTTTCCTAATTAATCCAAATATATAAATTTTTCATTCTAAGTAGTTTAATTACAAGTTTGTGTCTATAAATCAGTTTACAGGGTTTTATGTAATTTACTTCAGAATTTTTAGATGAACTCATCAATTAATAAGTAAATAATATCTCCTTATGTTACAAAATTTAATGTAACAATTCAATATTATGATGAATTAATGTATTATAATCATATAATCCGCCACCACTAGATACATAATTTAATGTAAATAATACATTTATTCATAATCTTTTGATTAATTATTCTTATACCAATCTTTTCCCATTCTTATATTCACTTTTATAAATGACTTGCGATTCATCATAAAACTTATCACTAAAATCAATCCAACTACCAAATTTAACTGAAAATCTTTCCTCTTATTTTAATAAGATCCAACACCACTATTATTTAGATTTTAAAGATTCTTAATTTATTTTAAATTAGTTCACTCTTCTGATATTTTGGAAGTGTTTTCAATTTGATCACTATTATATTAAATAACATACTTATTACATTTTTAAGATTGATCCATCTTTAATATATATTATCTTTTTATCTTTAGTCATTCCGAACCCATATCTAATTTTTAAATGCTGAATAATAATTATACTTCAACTGAAGTATTGGATATAAGAATATTTTTGAAATTCAATTCTCAAAAATTTTACCTTCTAAAGTTTAATGTTAATATTTTATTTATTGATTCTTCCAAGATTTCATCAATAAATTTAAATTAAAATCTTTGATTATCTATTTTAACTCTATCTAAAATAAGATTTAACTGAGATTTAGATATGAATATTGATTATATCTTACCTGAAATTGTAATAATTATGAATTTGATTACATTCTACCATATCTTTCGTTTAGGTATTCTTTAAAATTTTGAATAGTTTTGTAAAAATCTAAAAATAACATCATTTAAATGATCTATAATCTTTTAAAAACTAATGAATAATAAGAACTGTTCAAATGTTTATTATTTTTATGTATTTATAATATATAGTATATTTATTTAATATGATTCCAATTCTATATTCAATAATTTTATAACTTATCTAATTTTACGAGAGTTTTCAAACAATTCCTTTAAATTTTTTTTATTAAAACTTTTTGTTTTTTAATCAACATTATAGTTTTTATTTTTTTATAATTTCCTTTGACTTACATTAACTTTAAGTTTTCATTTATTCTCTTTTCTTACTCTTTTTATCAATTTAAAAGATTTAAAATCTTATGTTATTTTATATGCATATACTAATCTTAATGTTGTATTTCAATAATAATCTGCTTTCTTTAACAATTGCATAAACTTAAAAGTGCTCATTTATAATGTTAGACCAAAATTCCTTGAAATAGGTTAGATTTTAATCTTTTTTTATTACATAAAAGAATATGCTTTATTTTCTTTCATTTTATTCATTGGTCATTTGTTTTTTAAATAAATTGATTCCTATTGAATGAAAGAAATGATATATTTCTTGCTAGAAAAAATGGAATCTTTTTTAACTAAGTTTTAAGGCATTAAAATCCTTTAAATTATTAATCTTTTAAATTCAATTTGAACTGTATTATTCCTCTTTTCTACTTTAAATAATAAACTTAATCTTTGACTTGCTTTTTATTGTATTAAAAATGTATTTGAATGTTTCATTAAATCACTTAAATTTGCTAATTTTAACTTAAGAACTAAAGAAAGTTCAATCTTATTTATATTAAACAAGGAAATTATTAAGATTTATTTAAAATTTTAATAAGTATAAAAACAATTTAATCTAATAATCAATACAATAATTAGATCCAAAGAAAATAAATTTGATCATAATTTGAAAAACAAAAAGACAATAAGGATCCAGTTTTATTAACGACGATTACGAACGAAAACTTTAACAAATACACAACAAATTAAAAAAATTTTACTTTTATTATTCAGTTATCATATTTCAATTCTTACCATTTTTCATTCCATCTTAAATCCCTTTTCATCCATTTTCCATTCTTTTTACCATTTAAATATTCACCATTATAGATTACCTACTGCCTACATTCAAACTCATCACTTAATTCAATCCACTTTCCAATCTTATTTGAATTTTCTTCATCATATTCTCCACCACCTCTAGTTATACTGTCATTTAAATATTTACATTTGTTGATTATTTCCTTTCCAAAAATCATTGTATAAAATATCCCATCTACCTACTTTTTTACCCTGTTGATATTCACCATTATATGTAACTTAAGAATAATCTTAAAACCCATCACTTATCTCAACCCATCTACCAATTTTAATAGAATTCTTTTCATCATATAATCCCCCACCTCTGAAGTTTACTTATATTAATTATTACATCAATTAATTCTTTTTATCGCCATAATTCTTCTGATACCAAATCTCCCATCTACCAATCTTTTTACCATTTTTATATTCACCCTTATAGGTCACTTAAGAATTGCTTCTAAATTTATGCTTAGGCTCAATCCAAATTCCAATCTTATTAAAGTATTCCTAATCATATGATCCTCCTCCTCTGATAATTTTTATTATTAATATTTACATCAATTCATTCTTTTTATCATCATAATTCTTTTGATACCAAATTTCCCATCTACCAATTTTGTTACCATTTTTATATTCACCAATGAAGGTGACTCTAGACTCATTCCAAAACCCATAGCTCATTTAGATCCACCTACCAATTTTTATTGAACCTCCATTCTTCTATTCTTAATAATGTCCACCACCACTAGTAAAGATATAAAGTTTATTACATTAATTTAAATTCTTTTTCAGCTACTCCTTTATAAAAAATATCCCACAAACCAACTTTCTTACCATTTTTATACTCACCCTATAAAGTAACTTAAATTCCACTAGAATATTCGTCATCTAATTCAATCCATTTTCCAATTTTAATTGAACTGCCTTTTATTTAATCAACATATAATCCACCGCCACTAAAGTTTGTTTATTATAATAATAGAGTTTACATCTATTTTCCTTCAAACTCAATATCCCATCTGCCAACTTTTTTTCCCTTTAGATATTGGCCACTATAAGTGATTTGTTAATCATACTAGAATGTATTGCTCTCCTCAATCCACCTTCCAATCTTAATAGAATCTCTTTCATCAAATAACCCACCTCCACTAATACTTATCAAACTAATGCTTACATTTATTCTTTTTTTCCATTCCAAAAACTCTTATAAAAAATATCCCATCTGCCTACCTTTTTACCATTTTTGTATTTGCCTTCATAAGTCACTTATGACCACTTCGAAAATCCATCCACTAATTCAATCCACTTCCCATTCTTAACTGAATATCCCTCTACCTGATCATATGATCCACCAGCACTAAAATTTAACCCATAAAACTTTACATTTATTTAAATTTATTTTTATCATCTTCTTTGAATAATATATCCCATCTACCAATTTTATGGTTATTTTTATATTCGCCATTTTAAATGACTAAAGAATCATTTTTAAATCCATCATTCAATTCTATCCACTTTCCATTCTTAAATGAATTTCCATCTATCTAGGAATACGACCCTCCACCACTAAATTAAGTCTTGTAAACTTTACATTTAATTAAATATTTCTTTTTCTTAAGATTTGTACAAAATATTCCATCTTCCAATCTTTTTATCGTTTATATAATCGCCTTTATAAATTATTAATGAATCATTTTTAAAATCATCATTTAATTCAATCCAAATCCCATTCTTCATTGATCTTCCTTCTATTTAATAATATTCTCCTCCACCACTAAATTTAATCTTCTAAACTTTACATTTATTCAAATTTATCATTTTTTCTATACAAATAACTCCAATTACCGATTTTTTATCCATTATTATACAAACCATTATAAATAACTTAGGAGTTATAATTAAATTTATCACTCAACTCTATCCACTTTCCAATCTTAACTTAACATAATTATTAGTTTTATTCATCATATAAGCCACCACCACTAAAATTTTGTTTATAAAGTTACATTTATTCAAATTTATCATTCCATTTATACAAAGTATCCCATTTTCCAATTTTATAACCATTTTTATATATACCTTAATAAAAAATTTATGAAAAATCCCAGAATAGATTGCTTAACTCAATCCATTTACCATTTTTTTCTCCTTATATATTATATTCTCCACCTCCACTAATATAATGAAATAATATACATTTCTTTGTTTTCATAGATGTACTACCAGCCTTATTTCCTTTAATCATTGGTATATTCTCCAACTTCATAGATTTAGGCTTTACTATTATATATTTAATTTTAATATACCTCCAATAATTTTAAGTTAATTCTTTCCATAATCCTTCTTTTTTTCCATAATTTGAGTACCAACCACCTACATTAGTTAAAGTTTCTCCCTTCCAAATCACTCCCCATTTTCCAATTTTCTAATTATTCTCTCCATAATCACCAAACCACTAGAGATTTTGTATTTATTCCAAGTTTTTCAATAATTTAAGTTGTTATGAAGTGTCTATAATTTAATCTCTATAAAGTTAATAGAANTATAATAATAGAGTTTACATCTATTTTCCTTCAAACTCAATATCCCATCTGCCAACTTTTTTTCCCTTTAGATATTGGCCACTATAAGTGATTTGTTAATCATACTAGAATGTATTGCTCTCCTCAATCCACCTTCCAATCTTAATAGAATCTCTTTCATCAAATAACCCACCTCCACTAATACTTATCAAACTAATGCTTACATTTATTCTTTTTTTCCATTCCAAAAACTCTTATAAAAAATATCCCATCTGCCTACCTTTTTACCATTTTTGTATTTGCCTTCATAAGTCACTTATGACCACTTCGAAAATCCATCCACTAATTCAATCCACTTCCCATTCTTAACTGAATATCCCTCTACCTGATCATATGATCCACCAGCACTAAAATTTAACCCATAAAACTTTACATTTATTTAAATTTATTTTTATCATCTTCTTTGAATAATATATCCCATCTACCAATTTTATGGTTATTTTTATATTCGCCATTTTAAATGACTAAAGAATCATTTTTAAATCCATCATTCAATTCTATCCACTTTCCATTCTTAAATGAATTTCCATCTATCTAGGAATACGACCCTCCACCACTAAATTAAGTCTTGTAAACTTTACATTTAATTAAATATTTCTTTTTCTTAAGATTTGTACAAAATATTCCATCTTCCAATCTTTTTATCGTTTATATAATCGCCTTTATAAATTATTAATGAATCATTTTTAAAATCATCATTTAATTCAATCCAAATCCCATTCTTCATTGATCTTCCTTCTATTTAATAATATTCTCCTCCACCACTAAATTTAATCTTCTAAACTTTACATTTATTCAAATTTATCATTTTTTCTATACAAATAACTCCAATTACCGATTTTTTATCCATTATTATACAAACCATTATAAATAACTTAGGAGTTATAATTAAATTTATCACTCAACTCTATCCACTTTCCAATCTTAACTTAACATAATTATTAGTTTTATTCATCATATAAGCCACCACCACTAAAATTTTGTTTATAAAGTTACATTTATTCAAATTTATCATTCCATTTATACAAAGTATCCCATTTTCCAATTTTATAACCATTTTTATATATACCTTAATAAAAAATTTATGAAAAATCCCAGAATAGATTGCTTAACTCAATCCATTTACCATTTTTTTCTCCTTATATATTATATTCTCCACCTCCACTAATATAATGAAATAATATACATTTCTTTGTTTTCATAGATGTACTACCAGCCTTATTTCCTTTAATCATTGGTATATTCTCCAACTTCATAGATTTAGGCTTTACTATTATATATTTAATTTTAATATACCTCCAATAATTTTAAGTTAATTCTTTCCATAATCCTTCTTTTTTTCCATAATTTGAGTACCAACCACCTACATTAGTTAAAGTTTCTCCCTTCCAAATCACTCCCCATTTTCCAATTTTCTAATTATTCTCTCCATAATCACCAAACCACTAGAGATTTTGTATTTATTCCAAGTTTTTCAATAATTTAAGTTGTTATGAAGTGTCTATAATTTAATCTCTATAAAGTTAATAGAATAATTAACATTCTCAATATTTATCCCTCTCTCAAATATTAGATTTCTTAGTTTATAGTAAATTTTATTCTGAATTTAGTTTTTTTCTCTTTTGGCGGATTATAATTATAGTCCCAAATGATTCCATCATATTCTTCATAACCTTATCTCTACGTAGCAAAATTAAAGTTGAAACAGATAGTAAATTATGAATGATTCTAGAAAAGACTCATAAATGAATAGAAAATTTAAAATTTATTTAAATGATTCTCTAAATAATTAAATGCGAAAATATAAATAACTTCAATAAGTAAATCAATGAAAATAAAATATTTGAGAACTATCTATAATCTCAATTTTTGGTTAATAATTGATAAAGTTAACGAATCATTATTGATATATGATAAGAACACATCAAAATAGGAGGAAATAATAAATAAATAGATCAATATTGCTTGCTATATTTCAAAACAAAATTAAGTTTTTATTGTTTATTTAAGAGATTTAATTGAAGCTATTTTTAATTTTCAAGTTAGGATTTAATTTGAATTGATTATACCGTGTTTTGTTATTATCCTTTATTACTTGTATATATATTTTATATACAAATTTTTAAGTTTATTAATAATCCGACTAAATTTTTGTATCAATTGTTAGTTTGAAAGAATTAATTTAAGATTAGAATATATGAATATTCAGTGACCAGATTTAAAAGATAATAACAACACACAGTTCTGAACATTATTGTTTATTAATAGTTATTTTTTTAATATTATATTAGATATATTAGTTGGATAATAAATATCTAAGACATTTGCTCAATGTATTGCTCAAATAGAATTGGAATTTAAAGATATGATAACATATAGATGTTATTATAAATAATCAATTTCTTAGTATAATGTGATTGTAATATGAAATACAATTTATCAAGAAGTAATTAATTTTCATAATAAATAGAGAAAAGATCTCAAATGAAAAGTTCAAAAAAAATGGAAATTATGAAAAACATATATTTAATCTAATATTTGAATAGAGAAGAAAATAAGAATATCATGAAATGAAATTATGTAAATAAGTACCTCTTTAGAAGGGATTGTAATTTAATGCTGATGAATGTTATGATAGAAATGGCTTAAAAATTAGGTTTGGGTTGATTTAATTGAAAATTAATGGTATTAATAATATGCTTTATTTTATTAAGCAAAAATTAATGTATACATGCAGGTGAATATATGAAAAAAGGATAACGGATAGATTGACATTTTTAAATTATTGGAAGATAAAAGTTTAATTGATTAAATAATTTATGTCAAATTTTTATAAAAACTGTAATAGTTTACAGAACTAATAATAAATATTGAATGCAATTTTGTTAATGAAAATAGAGTTAAAGTTGAAAAATTGTGTAATTTATAATGATAACTCCTATCTTAAACTACACCACTAAAATAAGTATGAAATAAGGAAATATCTTTAGAAAAAAAATACCATATTTCATTAAGTTTAATGTAAATAAATTTCATTTTCATTTCTTAATTATTTACAATCAATTAATCTAACTTTGTAAAAGTTTCAAAAAATTTTGCAAAATTTTAATTACTAGTTCAAATAATCAGCAATAAACCATATAAATTATGTTATTGAGTACTCATTAAAAATAAAATTAACTCATATCAAATAGTAACTATTTATGGTTTAATTGTTTTCGGGTGTATATAACTTGAAATTTTAAAACAATATAATTTGGTGAGAATGATAGAAATATTCCAAAAATAAAGAGTGAATGTCAATCATAGGATACCTTTATACCTATTATATAA